ACCGTTGGGCCCCAGTGTTAGGCCGTGGATTCCCCAGCAGTGTTAGAGCCGTGTGTCCAGTGGTGTTAGAGCCATGGGCGCCTCCTGAGAGTTAAAGAGTCCTGGGTCCCCATCAGTGTTTGGCTGCAATTTGGTGTTGCAACCATACTTTCCTCAGCAGTGTTAGCACCGTGGGTCAACCAACAGTGTTAGAGCTGTGGGTCCCAGTGTTGTGGGTCCCCCCGCAGTGTTAGAGCCGTATCCCCAGCATTGTTGGGCTTGGTCCCCAGTAGTGTTAGAGCTGTGGGTCCCAAGCAGTGTTCGAGCCGTGGGTCCCGCAGTGTTAGGAGCCATGGGTCCCCAGTAGTGTTAGAGCCGTGGGTTCTCAACAGTGCTAGAGACGTGGGTCCCGCAGTGTTAGAGCCAGGTGGGTCCTCTCGGTGTTAGGCCGTGGGTCACCAGTGTTAGGCAAGTAGATTCCGGCAGTGTTAGAGGCCGTGGGTCCCCAGCAGTGTTAGAGCCGTGGGTCCCCTAGCAGTGTTAGAGGTGTGGGTCCCCAGCAGTGTTAGGAGCCGTGGGCCCCAAGCAGTGTTCGAGCTGTGGGTTCGGATTGTTAGGGCGTGGGTCCCAGCAGTGTTAGAGCATGGATTCGGCATTGACGGTAAGGTCCACCGGCAGCGTTAGGCCGTGGGTCCCGCAGTGTTAGGCTGGGTTCCAGCTGTGTTAAGGCGTGGGTCCCCAGCTGTGTTGGGAGGCCGTGGGTCCCCCAGTAGTGTCAGGGTGGGTCCCCCAGCAGTGTTAGAACCTTTGGGTCCCGCACTGTTAGAGCCGTGGGTCACCCGGCTGTGTTAGAGCCGTGAGTCCCCAGCAGTGTTCGAGCTGTGATTCCAACAGCAGTGTTACAACCTTGGGTCCAACAGTGGTAGAGCCGTGGGGCCCCCAGTGTTAGAGCCGTGAGTTTACAGCAGTGTTAGAGCCGTGGGTCCCCAGCTGTGTTGGGCGTGGGTGACCCAGCAGTGTTAGGCCATGGGTTCCCGCAGTGTTAGGCCGTGGTTTACCCAGCATTGTTGAGGCAGGTAGGTCACGGCTGTGTTAGGAGCGGGACTCCGCAGTGTTGGTCGATGGGTCCCCAGCAATGTGTAGAGGCTGTGGGTCACCCAGCATTGTTAGGCCGTGGGTTCCCCCGGCAGTGTTGGAGCTGTGGATCACTCGGCAGTGTTAGAGCTGTGGGTCACCCATCAGTGTTAGATCTGTGGGTCCCCAAGCAATGTTGGGGTGGGCTGGTGTTAGAACTGTGGGTCCCCCAGCAGTGTTAGAGCCGTGGTTCACCCAGCAGTGGTAGAGCCGTGGGTCCCCAGCAGTGTTAGGCTTGGGACCCCCAGCAGTGTTTGATTCGTGGGTCCCCAGCAGTATTTAGGCTGTGGGTCACCCAGCATTGTTAGAGCCGTGGGTCCCAGCAGTGTTAGAGCCGTGGGTCCCCAACAGTGTTAGAGCCGTGGGTCCCCATCAGTGTTAGATCCATGGGTCCCCATCAGTGTTAGAGCTGTGGGCTAACAGTGTTAGATCTTTGGTTCCCCAATGGTGTTACTGTGGGTCCCAACACAGTGTTGGAGGCATGGGCCCCCATCAGTGTTAGAGCTTTGGGTCCCCCATCAGTGTTCGAGCCGTGGGTCCCCCATCAGTGTTAGAACTGTGGGCTAGCAGTGTTGAGCCGTGGGTCCTCTATCAGTGTTAGAGCCGTGGGTCCCCAACAGTGTTAGAGCTGAGGGCCTGGCAGTGTTAGAGCCGTGTTCAACGATTATTTTGGCCATGGCAATTAGGAGCCGTAGATTACAGCAGTGGAGCCGTCCCAAGGATTGTTAGAGCCGTGGGTCCCCCATCAGTGTTATAGCTGTGGCCCCGGAACAGTGTTGCAGCCGTGGATCCCCCATCAGTGTTGGGTGGGTTCTAACAGTGTTAGGCTGTGGGCAAGAATAGCGTTAGAGCAGTGGGTCTGGTCGGGATTCGAGCCATGGATCCCATCAGTGTTAGAGCCGTGGGTCCCCATCAGTGTTAGATCCGTGGGTCCCCATCAGTTAGAGCCGTGGGTCCCCATCAGTGTTAGAGCCGAGTCCCCATCAGTGTCAGGTCCCCAACAGTGTTAGAGCCGTGGATGCCCCATCAGTGTTAGGCTGGGGTCCCCAAGTAATATTGAGTGGGCCCCAAGCAGTGTTGGTGTAGGTCCCCAGCAGTGTTAGAGTCGTGGTTTGCGGGTAGTGCTGTGGGCCTCAACGTGTTCGTCTCTGGGTGTGGTGTTAAGCTGTGGGTCCCAACAGTGTTGGGAGCCAGGCCCCCATCGAATGTTAGCTGTGGGCCCCAACATTGTTGAGGCCATGGGTCTCTATCAGTGTTTGAGGCGTTGTTCCCCATCAGTGTTAGTGCTGTGGGCCCTCAACAGTGTTAGATCTTTGGGTCCCAAATGGTGTTAAAGCTGTGGGTCCCAAGCAGTGAGCCAGTGGGCCCCCATCAGTGTTAGAGCTTTGGGCTAACAGTGTTGATCTTGGTCCCCAATGGTGTTAAAGCTGTGGGTCCCAACAGTGTTAGAGCCGGGGTCTCCCCATCAGTGTTAGAGCTGGGCCCCTAACAGTGTTACTGCCGTGGGTCCCCCATCAGTGTTAGAGCTGGGGCCCCCATCAGTGTTGAGCCGTGGGTCCCCCATCAGTGGAGCCGTGGTGCTCATCAGTGTTGAGGCCAGTGAAGCCATCGTGTTAGGCAGGTGGTTCCCCCATCAGTGTTAGGGGCGCAGCAGTGTTAGAGGCCATGGGTTCAAGGTGTTAGAGCCGTG